TACCACTTTTACATGACCAGACCCTCTAAGATTAAAGAGAGTAAAGAGTAAAGTTAGGGTATGGTTTGCCAATATATGGTGTGCTAGTGGGAATGGTTTGTATTCTTCTGGATCTTACATCAAGGGGCCACTGGGCAATCAGCTGAGGAGAAATACTGGAAGCAGCGTCAGTGGGATTATTCCCAAGAGTCCTCTGTGATCTGTGGGAAAAGACAGAATCATTTTCTTGTTAGTTAATACATAATCAATACACTAGTCCAAATAAAACATGGTTTAATGGTTATCCCCTCTTCCTCTGTATAATTTAAGGTTAACCCTATCTGAAATATAAATAGTTTAGAAGAGGTGTGCGTGTTTATGAATAGGGACATTTTACGAGTAGATGCTGAGTGTTGAGGGTTACAGAACTTATCTACTCAGGATGTGTACAGGGTGATTAAAACAATTGGTGTAGGAGAGGATGGAGCATGGAGGACAGCAAGACTGCAGTAAGAGAAGAGTGCTAAATTATACTGGAGAAGGAGAGGAGGCAAAAATATTGCATCATGGAATAGAAAACAGAGGGCTGGAACAGAACAAAGCAGGTCCAGAACAGAACAAAGCAGGTAAGTACTATATGTAAGCAGTAAGAGCAGACAGTGTGAATGTAGATGAGCTGCTGATGGATCACTGTTACTTATGACAGGCTCACTTAGTACTCAAAGCATCTCTGTATACAAAGTGGACCAGAACTCAAAAGTGGAGATTTGCTATGTTAGAGAGAACACCTAAATATTGATTGTGCCGAAGTGGTACCCTGAAAGATTTATCTTTTCTTTTAAATTGCTCCAAATATATAGCAGTGTACTCCAGTGCTTACAGCCTGATAGATCTATCTGCACTGTGAGATAATTGAAGTCACTGCTACCTCTGACTGATAGCCTCACCAGATTTGCTGTTCACTGTACTCCTTGTGGAGAAACCTGAGGACCTGCAATGCGAGCATCAATTTGCTTCTGCTTCATCCATTATGTGAAAGCTGGACACAGCAGTGGTCTTCTGCTCCCTCTCCCCTTCACCATTTTCTCCCCCATAGTGGGGATATGGACCTGACAGTGAACATCTAACTTGCGCCAGCTCATCTCCATGCATCCATTATGTGCTTACTGGACTTCTCCTCTGTTGCTTCTTGACTATTCCCCCATCAGTCATAATTCAGTCATCATATCACCAGGCATCAGGAAGGGGGGGGGGGGGGGGGTATGATATGTTGAAGGAAAGTCCTGCATCTATAAAGATGGCAGCATGCTCACACAGATACACAGTGCAGAACAAGGCACAGTAATTCAGTGATGGGAATAAAACTGTTGCGAGAAGCTTGTAAAAAACAATACCTGTGACTGTTACTTTATGCTCTTTGTTTGCCATGTTTTTGGGCACAGCATACACAGTCCAGGTCCTCTATGACAGAAATCTTTGCCACAATCTAAACTACTTATATCTGTCAAAGGCAAGGCAAGGGAAATATGCAGAGCAGAGAAACGTTATTGCTACCCTTGCAGCTCTCTATAGGAGAAGAAACCCAATTTAAGCTCCAAGTCACAACGTGGAGCTTACGCTGGCCTGAGGACAATCTCTCAGCATCATGTGACAGTGCTGGATGCCTGTGCAACCAATATCAAGGCATTAGTGCTGCCACATGGAAGAAATGGGAGCAAGTATTATGCAGTCCCACACCCAGAAGTGAGGAAATAGAAGGTGAGTATGTCCTGCTGGTAGGGCTGGCATAAGAATTTTAGTGTACCTGTCACTGGATGGAAAAATCACAAGTTCACTGTAAAGTCAACCTGTCACAAACCAGAGAGTCCAACCATTCCCTACTCTAACCAAGAAAAATGTTTTGCTTTTTTACATTTTGGATAGAGTAAGGTAGGGTTTTAGCCCTGTCATTTTTTTTTGCCATCTGTGTCCCATTGAGGAGGTTTGCCTTTACTTCCTATCTCATGGCCAAAACAGCAAGTGGAAGAGACCCCTTCAATAAAAGTCTGTAATATACCATTTTTAAAGTATATGTAAATCCTTACCTTGTAAAACAATCCATTAGTTTAAAATAGAAATGAAAGGCAAAACATATGTGTATAGATTTAAAAAAAAAAGATGCCTACTTTGTTTCCCCCTGCCTATTAAGTGATCACATACCCTCTAAGCTGCTTGTGCAGCTGAGAACAGAGAGCTGGGGGGGATCAGCAGCATCCCTGAGGGCTACAGATCACCCCCATATTATAGATAATAAAGGGTGGTGTTCTGTAGTCCTGTCATTGCTGTTTCTTCATAGATACAGTATGGTGAGTTAGCTTTGTCCAGGAAGCCAGAACAAGGCATAATAAGTTAATAATGTGGCAACTGCAAGGAGACTACAGGTAATACTGTTGATCGTTTTTGGACCTCTGACTATTTTTGAACAATGCTTCCAGATTTCAGCTCCTTTTAAGGTAAACACTGAAGTACTCTGAGAACTCAGAATATGTCCTCACAAAAACTCCAGGCACAACATTTTTAAATGTATTATTCAATAGCCACAAAGGATGTAAATCCACTTTTTGTGCACTACACGCCTTGGCAAACACAGTAATTACTGTACCATGTAATAGTAGCTGTGACATTATTGGGGTGCTGCACTTAGCCTGTGGAGAGAGCAGAGCTGTGAGAGGGACTTAGCAGTCTCCATCCACTACAGGCTGTCTGTAGAAAACTACAGAAGGGGGTGGAGACAAGACCAGTCATCCTAAACAAAGAGAAAGAGCAGTAGTAACCAGTCATTATTACAGGAAGCTCCTGCACAATGACAAAGTTTCACACTGGAATATTGCACAGGTCTGGAATTCATTTTGTTACGAATCGAAATTCAGATGAAATTTTCATTATTCAGAGATTCAGATGTATTAAAATTTCTGAATCACAAGAGTATTGAATTTCAAAGAATCCGAAATAAGTTATAACAAAACAAATTATGGAATTCAAATTCGAATATGAATTTGAATTTGAAAATTAATTTGAATTAGAAATGGAAGCATATTGCAATACAGTAAGGTATAAAATTAAAAAAGATGATAATTCCTACTTAGGCTGCTTTATAGACTAGAATAGAATACAATTATTATTATTATTAATATTATACAGGATTTATATAGCGCCAACAATTTTCACAGTGCTTTACAATTTGAGGGCAAAGAGTACAGTTACAATACAATTGAATACAGGAGGAATCAGAGGGCCCTGCTTGTTACAGCTTACAATCTAAAAGGGGAGGGTCAAATGATACAAAAGGTAATAACTGTGGGGGATGAGCTGATGGAGAAGATACATGTACAGTTGTTAGGTGGAAGCAGGATAGGTTTCTCTTCAGAGAAATATTTTCAGGGATCGTCTAAAAGTTAAGAGAGTAGGAGATAGCCAGACAGATTGGGGTAGGAAATTCCATAGAATGGGTGAAGTTCAGGGGAAGTCCTGCAGGCGAGCATGGGAGGAGGTGTCAAGGGAACTAAAGAGCAGGAGGTCTTGGGAGGAACGAAGAGAACGATTTGGTTGGTATTTTGAGACAAGGTTAGTGATGTAGCTGGGGACCAAGTTGTGGATGACTTTGTAAGTTGTTGTTAGTATATTGAATTTAATTAATTGGGTGAGTGGCAGCCAATAGAGGGACTGGCAGAGAGGGGTAGCAGACACTGAACGGTTGGTAAGGTTGATGAGTCTGGCAGCAGCATTCATGATAGACTGGAGGGGGGATAGCCTATGTAAAGGTAAGCCAATGAGGAGGGAGTTGCAGTAGTCGAGGCAAGAGATAACCTGGGAGTGAATTAGGAGCTCTGTGGTGTCATTGGTTAGAAAGAGGCGTATTTTGGAAATGTTGTGGTTGTTGAGAAAGCAAGCTTTGGAAAGTGATTGGATGTGAGCTGAATGGGGAAAATGAGGTCACCTGCAGTCTGGTATTTTGCAAACTAGCTTGCTGGGCAGCACAGTGGCTAAATGGTTAGCACTTCGCCTGGCAGCACTAGGGTCGCTGGTTCGAATCCCAACCCCGGCACCACCTGCCTGGAGTTTGCATGTTGTGACTGTGTGGGTTTCCTCCGGGTACTTCGGTTTCCTCCCACACTCCAAAGACATGCTGGTAAGTTAATTGGCTCCTGTCTAAATTGGCCCTAGTATGTATATGTATGAATGTGAGTTAGGGACTTTAGACTGTACGCTCATTGAGGGTTAGGAACTGATGTGAATGTACAATATTTATGTGTAAAGCGCTGCGTAAATTGACAGCGCTATATAAGTACCTGAAATAAATAATAAATAAATAATTTTAGCTTCGTACAATCGATGAAGTGCAAGAGCGGAAGTGCCACAATAGAATAGAATAGAATAAAACAGAAAGGAATAGAAAAGGTATAGAAAAGAATAGAATAAAAATAAAAGGATATAGAACAGAATAGAATAGAATAGGAAAAAAAAAATAGAAAAGAATAGAAAAAAAAAAGGAAAATAAAAGAATAGAATATACGATGTTCAAATATATATATAAGAAACAAATATACAAAACAAATCCAAATATACAAATATTTTCTAAAACGAATGAAATGAAAAAATGAAATGATTAACTTAATAAATGGATCCGAAATGAAACAAATGTTTCCATCATGCACATCTCTAGTCTGGAAGAAATACACAACATAAGATTGAAATAAGGAAACACATGCCTCTTGTATGTGGTCAACATTTGTTATCCTAGTGTTCGGTTTTAACTGTAACAACTGAAATATTATTTTCCCTTTAACATCTTTTTACTTACACAGTGCAAGTTGTACATTCATGGATCCAGAACGCCCACCATTCTCTCCTCCATTGGGCATCGTAACAGTTGTGGCAGTTACAAGCTGAACACTAACATTTGAAGTGCTTCCCCTTTTACTTAGGGATTCTTGTGTGCCAGCCCAAAAGTAATCAAGATTTAGGAAAGCCTGGCCTTCTTCTTCATTCATGTCTTGGGTGGTAATATTAATTCCATTATCAATAATAATTTTTAGTTGAACTCCGCCATTGACTGTCCTAGAATAGTTGTATGTCTTGTCATTGTAGCTTGTGTTGGCAAATACTGTGACCAGCAGCTCTGGATCAGGACAAGGGTTGATGGAAAGCTCTGTGCATCTAGTTACATTTTTCTCGGCTGTGATCGCACATCGAAGTGGAACATCTGAAGTAACGATCAGTGGATGTGACACAATCTGTGTGGTTTCAAGCTGGGATGGGGCTACAGAGACTTCAGTGTATACATTCATTTGGAGCACAGTCGTGGTTGTGGTCTGAGCTGTGAGAAAATGTAATAACATTAATGTATTTCTTAAAATGTAACTCAACTTTTGAAGTAAATTTTCAGTGATGGTTACAGAATATATACAAGAGCTTCAGGCAATATGATTATTGTGCCCCTCTTCTGTTGCTCCTGATAAATTTCCTTCTATCTCCTGATACAATCAATGGGTTGACTTTATGTAACATGATATCAAAGAAAGCATTCCAGAATCTCATTTAATCTTTGGTTCCTGACACATTGCTGAAGCTACATGCTGTGTACAATCATAATGCTCGGGCAACATTGATGTATAGTTACGCATTTGCAACCAATGAGAGTTGAGCTTTTCAGTTTGGAGTAGACAGAACAAGGAGGTTATTACTGATTCCAAATGGGAACTCTTGGAGTAAGGGCTTATTATTTAAAATATCAGGTTTGGTGGTTGTAAACCTTACATATAACCTAGTGGAGATACTGGCCTCAAGTGACAGACAGAGATTAAACAAATCCTTCTACATAAGTTGTAGCTGTTTATCTAAATCTGTCTCTCATAGCTGCCTAGTTGGTGCTTATTAATGCTTGATTGCTGCCCTACATCTATTCAAAGTGCAGAATTTACACAGGCTCTATCAGTTCTGAAAAGCAGGGGGCGACGAGCAGAAGATACATCAATGAGCAGAGCTCTGAAAGCTGATTGGAGGAATGGGACCCTCCACACACACACAGACACACACACACAGGAACAGAGCTGAGACTGTCAATCTGCTGCTGGAGGTCCCTCCACTGGCACCATTTTTTTTTGGTGTCAGAAAAACTCATCAGAACTGACTCATGTTGACAGCAGAGGAATGAGGCAGTGGACACCAATGACACTTAGTGCTCTGAACTGAGACAGGTACACACTATAGAGAGGTATGCTTTGTTCATATTTCGTGTCTGAGGTTTACAACCACTTTAATGTTCAGTTAGGAACTCTTCCACATGTTGGCAGGCACACTTCTAGCTTTCCTGATCATACACTCTTGCCTATCCCCTCCCACCCCACAATTGGCTCACCACTCAGATCACTACTTTCTCCAACCAATGCGGCTCCTCGATGGGGGCTACGTTTTTGCCCTCCTTAGCAAACATATATATTGGCACATGGGAGGAGAAAGTTATCTTCACAGAAATAAACCCTTAGAAACAGCATATATTATGGTACAGTCGCTACCTAGAGGATCTGCTACTTATTTTGAAGGATGACCCAGAAACTGTTCCAACTTTTGAAGATAGGTTTTACTGCAATGATTTTAATTTCAATTTGCAGTTCACATATGATTTGGATAAGTATAAAATTATTTTCTTGGACATCACATTAGAGGGGAACCTGAATTTTCATCAGGTAGACACCAAGACATTTTATAAACAATACTCAGGAAATACCATTCTCCTGGCTATAAGCTGTCACCCTTCCCATTCTTTAAAAGCTATACCAGTGGGAGAATTTCTTAGGGATAGACATAACTGTTCCCAAGAGGAGTTCTTTAGGGAAGAATGTTCCACTATTTCCCAAATACTGTGGGGGCGTTTGTATTCAAGCCTCTCATTTCTAGAGGATGTGAGAAGGCATTACAATGGTTATCATATAAAGGCTCCTATTAATGTGGACAAATACATGCAAATATTGAAAAGTACATATAAATAAACAGAAGTATGCTCATTAGTGATAGGAGAAACTTATCCCATAAAAACAATACATCAATTGCTGTACAGAAGCTGCAGTTTATACCAGCCTTTCTCAACCAGGGTGCCCAGGCACCCTGGGGTGTCTTGAGGTTTCTGCAGGGGTGCCTTGACAAACTGTCTAGAAATTTCCCAAAACTTGTATACAAGCCAGCAGGTGGGACAAGCCTTCCTTTTAGTTACACAAAGCCACAGGTTTTCATTGTGCACCATTATGACCTTCTACCCACTGGCGCCCTGACAACCAATGACATCATCAGTTGATAAGGAGGATATCAGCTGCCTGCACAGAATCATAGTTTGACCTCCCCCCTGCCCCTCTCCATCAGTGCTGGGGTCACATTAGCTCAGTGATGGAGAAAAACTGAAGGAAAAGAGAAACACTGGAATACTAATCAGTACCAGTGTGCAAAAGTGTATTTGCTTGGGAAGAATAAATCACCTCTAATGTTGGGTGTCCTACATGTGTGGATTTTGCTGCGTTATATAAAACTATTAGAATAGTTTTTCACATTTTAGAATGGGGTGCCCTTTTAAAATTAAGGGCAATCTAGAGGCACCCTACTTTAGAATGGGGTGCCTTAAGACTGTCCAAAACTTTTTATGGTGCCTCGGGACTGTCCATCATTTTAAAGGGTGCCTTGACTGAAAATTTTTGAGAAACACTGGTTTATACTATGATTGGCACTACTTGTTCTGTACAATATATAGGCTGCACTAGTCTCCCATTATGAGTTAGATTAGGGGAACACTATATGGCAACAAACAATTATAACATTAAACAACTTTCAATGGTTTCCCATCACTTTTGTGATGCACATGAATGTAATTTGACATGGTTTAGATTTCATGGAGCGGAAAAAATTACAAGACCTGTGAAAGGAGGTGATCTCCACAAAAGAATGTTGTAGCGAGAGGCATAGTGGATACACAGAATATGAACACAAACCCCTTATGGATTGAATCAAACGAGGGACAAGTCTCTTTTTAAAATAAAACTGTTACCTATAAACTGGATTAATTTGTTTCCACCATGCCTCTATTTCTCTATGTAATTTCCGTTCATTATTTTGGTTTTTGCTTATATTTATTTTTCATATTGTTACATGCGTTTAGATTTTTGTATTGCTGCATATGCCTATTTTAAACTTGGAAGTGTTATGTTATATTCTATTTAAATGTGATTATCAGCTTTCTGTGTCAGCTCCCAGGTGTTGATTAGTTCAGTCTACATCTGTGTGATTGGCTGAAAAGCTTTTAAATGTATGTCTTCTTTTGATCCGTCTTTTGCTATGATTAAGACCCACTGAGAGTCGATACATGCGAACCTGGAGGACTGTATGTTGTATTCCCTCAAGTAAATAAAGTACCGCAAGAGCTACAGTGGGTGCCGGCTGTATTCATTAATTTGGTAAACTAATGAGTGCACCCATCTCAAACTTTATTAGGGAGCCAATGAGTGCATGCATCTAAAACTTTGTTAGGGAACTAAGGAGTACATCCACCTAAATCTCCATTAGGGAACCAGTGAGTAAGCCCACCTAAAACTCTGTTAGGGAACCAATGAGTACAACCACCTCAAACTTTGATGGAGAATCAGTAAGTACAGCAAAGGAGTCCCACTGTCAGTATACAATAACACATCTGAGAGGTTTCCCCCATTCATCTTGAAAGTGCGGATGGGGGAATCCATTCATTTTTTTTTCAGTCATCTGGTAAAAAAAAAATAATCATCTATGGCCAGCTTGACTCTCACCTTCCAGGCCTGTTGTGCAGGGACTACAAGAGACTGATTCCAGATCAAATCTAGGTATTTACAGTGCTTACATTTAAAAAAGTACATTTATTAATATATATTAAGAAGGTTTCCAGGTATGGATATTCTACATAGTTAGAACAAACACTATATGGTCCTATGTCAAATTATGCCCTGACACAAACTATGCACTAACATGAATGGGCACCTACCCATGTATCAAGAACCACTGGGCTAAAAATATCAACTATATTTAACCCAATTAAAATTGAAAACATAGTACCATATAGTATACTCTAAATGCCAAACAGCATAACCCGAGGATACACAAGGAGGTGTCACACCTTTGGCTTATACAACAGGTCTTATAGTGTCCACATGTAAAGGGACAGTAAGATTGCGGACAATAGAGGACAAACCTGTCTCCTTCAGGCTGTATAAGGGCTTTTACTGTAAGCTCTAAGGCACTGAGGACAATAAAAGGCCTAATCTAACTCACTGAAGCTTAGTTTACCAACAGTGCCAGGCTCTGGCCATTCATGCACTATTTGCTTACATAATGTAGACCAGTTTCAAAGAATGCTCCAACCTGGAACCAGTTTGCTGTGCAGGACAGACTGGGGAGCAACTAAACAATACTGTGGTGAGAGTAAATCTGTGTGATTTTGGACTGGGAGACCCTCTGTGTGAACACCCTGGGGTTTATTAACTAAAGCTGGAGAGTCCAAAATCAGACTCCCTTCTGCATAGAAACCAATCAGCTTCTAACCTCAGCTTGTTCAATGAAGCTTTGGCAATGAAACCTGGAAGCTGATTGGTTTCTATGCAGAAGGGAGTCTGATTTTGGACTCTCCAGCTTTAGTAAATAAACCCCCCTGTGTCTAAGCAGTGGTAGGCTGCATCCAGACAGGTAGATGGGAACCTGTGTTTGTAGTTAGATGCCCAGTGTGGCAAGGCTTTATTTTCTGTTTGTATTTTTTTTTGCTGTTTTGGATGTATGCACCCTGTGTTCAACAGTCTTGTAAATAAAGCACAACTTTCTTCACCAAGATCCTGCTGTTGTGCTGAGCCTCTTTCACCGTGCTCTGACTCATCTAGGGTGTCAAGCACAACCCACTACTAGGCTAATCTCTCACAATATATATATAGATATATATATATACAGTATATATATATATATATATATATATATATATGATATTGAAACACATACTGTTCATTCTTGGACAGGCCAGTGACAAAACCACTTTATACAACAAAAGTACTCTTTACTATGTTCATTTTATGCAAGGTCACCTTGGTATTTGGGGAATAGCCTGTTTATCTAATTAGACATTTCAAAGGTATCGTATTTAGACTCCAGGGGGTATTCATGGGTAATGGTGAAAGTGTGACTTGTGTACCTGGTAAACACTATAGTGACCTTAATTGTTATTTACAGTAATGGCAAGTGAAGTCTTTTCATGTAAGATCAAAAGTGCTTTGTCAGCCAATCAGAAATGCCTCCAGTAAACTGTATTTCAAGGGAAGTCATATTGGCTGGGAAAGGAGCTTCTTCCTGTTGTTAATATGGAAGCACAGGTATAGATCATAACTTGCATTATTGCATGCATGGAAGCTACCTAGGTGCATATTATAGATTGGACATATGCTGGATGGTGTAGTATCTCCATGCTTGATATGAAGTATCTTAAATGGGACTCTGAGGGCTGTTGTTCATTGTAATATTTACAAGTATTCAGCTGGATTTCTGTCATCTGTTGCAAGTATCTTTATCGGAATAAATGCATCTCTCTGGCAAAGAACTGTTGGATTAGTTGCTGTGGGAAAGTACAATTATGAATATACACTCGTCTTCCGTCCACATTAATAGAAGTCAACAGCACGTGAAGCCTCTTTTGCGGGCACACAACTCCTTCCCCATCAGCAGAGCAGCACAGGGAAGTGTCAGTGAGACACAGCTTCTGCCACACTAATGCATTCTGATCTCAGAATTCTCTGCACCGCAGCCACACTGAGGGGGAGGAACTGTTCCCCACACATTGTACAAGATGGGGAAAATTGTTTGGTTCTCTAACTTTGCTCTAGCGATGATTGTCAGCTCTTGTGATGGGGAAGAGATTGGGTGCAGTTCTGCTCGGGGCCGGTCCCTGTTTCCAGTAGGAGAAGGACTGTGATTGGCTATGGCTAAAGCCAGTCACAATCCTGCTAGCCTCACCCACCATCTGGAGAATGATGACTCGCTTGGTTGCCACTACCAATCTCATAAAGAAGGGATTTCACTGTGATTGAGAAAACCACAATCAGGTGCCAGTTTGTGGAATTACTGTTGAGCTTCTGGGAACTTTGTTGAAATATAAATATACAGGTATATATAATTATGTGTGTGTGTGTCACCTACTCCTGACCCCTCAGCTCTGCGTCACCTATGACTACCGACCTTTACATCACCTTCTCCTATCCCCTGTACTCTGCATCACTTACTCTTGAACCTTTGTGTCACTTGCTACTGAGCCTCTGCACTCTGTGTCCTTTTAAGCCACAACCAGTATTCAGTGCAATGAAAGTCATACCCAATTTTTGCTGTGACGCACCATGCCGGACTTTTTTCTCAGCTGGGAAGGCCCAACTTATGATCTTGCACACAGGCCCACTGCTTTCAGAAAATGCCCCTGACCTGAGCTCATTACTGTGCATCCATTCCAGATGCTTCTATGTGACAACACATACTACAAGCACCTGAGCTGGATGTGAGAGGTGGATCAGTGGAGATGAGTGTGCCAGGACAGGTAGCTATGTCTCATCTCTGCTTCCTTGCACCACTCTGCATATCATGTATATCATTGATGAGAAGAGGGTATAGTGATGGGGCAGATGAGAAGGGGGGTACCGTGATGGGGCATATGAGAAGGGGGTTCAGCGGTGGGACAGAAGAGCATGGGGGGGTACAGTGGTGGGGCAGAAGAGCAGGAGGGTACAGAGGTGGTACAGATGTGCAGGAGGTACAGTGGTGGGGCAGATGCGAAGGGGGTTACAATGGTGGGGCAGATGAGCAGAGAGGTACAACAGTGGAGCAGATGTACAGGGAGGTACAGTAGAAGTGTAGATGAGAAAGAGGGTACATTGGTGGGACAGATGAGCAGAGGGTTACAGTGTTGGGACAGAAGAGCAGAGAGGTACAGTGGTGGGACAGAAGGGCAGAGGGGTAAAGTGGTGGGGCAAATGTGCTGGGGGGTACAGTGGTGAGGCAGATGAGCAGGGGATTACAATGCTGGAACAGATGAACAGGGGGATACTATGATGGAGCAGATGAGCAGGGGGGCTCAGTATTGGGATAGATGAAAAGGAGGTTCAGCGGTGGGACAGAAGAGCTGAGGGTACAGTGATGGGGAAGATGAGCAGGGGGTTACAGTAGTGGGACATATAATCAGGGGGGTTCAGTGGTGGGGAAGATGTGCAGGAGATACAGTGGTGGGGCAGATGTGCAGGGGGTTACAGTGGTGGGACAGATAAGCAGGGGGCTATATTGGTGGGACATATGATCAGGGGATTACAGTGGTGGAACAGATGTGTAGGGGGGTACAGTGATCTGAGGTGTGAGGTTGCAGAAATTGGGGCTGATCTGAAGTGTGAAGTTGCAGGAATTGGGAATGATCTGAGGAGTGAAAGTGCAGGATGTTAATTCATTTTTGTGATTGAGAGTGTGAAGTTGAATTTTTTTTTTACACTCTCAAAGTCTTTGAAAACTTTTTTTGGCACACTGTGCTCAAAAGGTTGCCTACCCCTGTTCTAGGGTGATCCCACAGCTATGGTATATGCATAGTTACATTGGTCCAAGCTGGAGCAATGTATCTATGTATAAAATATCCATACCTAGAGTTCATCTCCACTGAGTAAAAAGCTGCATTAATGCAGGTCTTTTAAGTGCATATAAATCTGCTTTAAAGGAAACCTGTGCTGAAAATTGGGGACTGTTACCCTCCTTCTGAAAATGCAGGGTGAATTGCAACCAATTTCTTCAGCTCTTTTAATTTATGACCCAAAACAAGCTTTTTTCCTGCCAAGGGCCTGGCGTTTTTTTAGGCAGGTGTGCATGGACCCTTTGGGGTTTAACATAGCATCCAGACAACTAGCATTTTCAGAAGGAGAGGTCAGCAGTGACATCCTAAGACACAGATTACTTTTAATAAACCTACATTTTTCTAAAATAATCTGTAATATATTATTTCAACCTTGAATTCAATAAGATAAAACTGGCAACAAAAACTAATAGCAGAAATATACTGAATGAAAAAACAAAAAAAACAGCTAATAGTAATTAGAACCTCTATGATTAGCCACATCTAGAATTATAAGTGATCAAAAAAGAGATTGTACCCTAGACGAACAATGGTGCAGAGGCAGAGAATTCTACACTATCAGCTGTTTATATTACAATGACTTCTGTAATATGCACATATAAAAATCTACATATTTTCTAAATTGGATAATAGTATTTTTATACAAGGTAAATACTGCATGAATAAATAATTTAAACTGTGCATTATGTTGCCTGCATTGGTAAAAAGTAGATCATTCATGAATGAAATAATTTATAATGTTCAGTTATTCCATGTCTCTTACCAGCTATACCCAAACCTAGGATGAAGACTGTCAGCCCTCGGTCCATTGTTGAAAGTGTGTCTGGGTTTATTCTCTTCAGAATGGTTTAGCAGGACATTGCGATCTCTCTAAATACAAATACGAACATTGACCTTCCCCAACCTGTCTTCAAATATTCCTCAAAGAGAAGTCATGAACGTAATCCTGAAAGCTTGCTCAGAAATTTTCAGTGTTAGGCAACATGTTGCAATTTAATTTTGTTTGGCAGTTTCATTTTGTAATATTTTGTTTTGAATTCCTGTTTGTAATCATAGCTACAGAAATCAGTTGCCCAAGCTAAGGTCCAACTGGAAATTGGATGAGTCCTTGGGTGAACCAGTTGGCTAATCACAACACCGGAAATTGAACCAGTAAAAGGAGTCCTTTGGATGCCATATATGGTCATGTCTGTGTTTATGGTCCCCCAGTGGGCCACAGTTTCCTTCAAGCTTACGTAGTTACATAATTACACCACTGCAGCAATCTAAGTATGTCATTTACCCAAGTAAATATTGTGTTAACTGTGAATAATGGCCCTAAAATTATTGCTCTGACTCCAGTGTGCTCAGTAATATGTAAAATGTGTAGCACAATTGGGGTTTTTGTATGTAGGCCCCCCAACATGTTTTTTTCTCTCATTTAACTTTATAGCTATCACATAAGGGATCAATAGCCCTCTATCTGATACCATGTTATTATGACAGGTTCTGTCACAGGTCACACTCCATTAGCTTCTGCCCTGGCTATGGTGGCCATGGAAATTGACAGCAGAAACTGCAAGTGATGAATTCCTTGCTTCTGGATTCCTACTAGCTAATGGAGATCAGTGAATGAATGTTCACTTTTTTTGTGCCCCTCTGCCCGGCGACACCTGACATGCAGGTCCTGGTCCCAAAGGTGGGACAGCTGCACCTGGGGAACATAGTGAGAAAGGCAAATGTACTGTGGGTCTGTGGCAAGTCAATGGAAGTGTCAGTGTTTATTTATCATTTGTTTTTTTGTGACTGAGTAAGGGTGTACCCCTTGCTGTTGTTTTGTTGTTGTTTTTTTTTCTTTCATTGTGCCCTACTTGACATCCATGTCAGACCCTCATCAAAGATAAGAGTTTAGTATGTATTCTTAGGGAGGACCCCATATGATATTAATGGGCTGACCCATTAGTATCTATACCATCTAGGGGAAGGGCCTGCTATAAATCAAGGGAATTTTTCTTTGTAAATGTCACTTTAGTTGATAGGTTGTATACATCACATATATGAGCTACTTCACAGGTAGTCTGCTACTTCACAGGTAGTCTAAGGAGACTCTAGTCATGCTATTTAAAATATTTTTAATATTTCACTTTAAGCATACTTCCCAACTTTTTGAGATAGGAACGAGGGACACCTATTAGCAAAAGCGTGTACGCATAGGACACACACCCCTGTCACGCCCCCGTAAATGAGAATTAACAAAAAAAAAAAAGATCAGGTAAACCCACAAGTGCTTTTTTTTACCACTACTTTTCTTTTATACTGGTTTTCGACATTTTACAAATGCAGCAATTTAGAATTTGGATGAATGGTTTAGCACTGGGAAATACTTTTTGAACGATAAAAAAGTGCATTTTATATACAAGTATATAGATCAGACCAAAATGAGGGACAAATGAGGAGGAAAGAGGGACAGAGGGAGTTTGTTCCAAATCAGGGACAGTCCCTCAAAATCAGAAACAGTTGGGAGCTATGTTTTTATCATTATTAAATCACTGTTCCCTGCCAAGTGAATTTAAAACATTGTTTAATTTTGTACTTGTGACCACGGGCAGTGCCCAGCTTCCCATGGCATTTGTTTGACAATCCCTTGCCTATTAGCTTAGAAAATGGCTATTGCTGTTTCTAAGTTTAAGCTCCCATTGACTTCAGTGGAATTCTGATTTGGCATTCAAACTTCAGTAAAGTTCTCTGAACCTGCCCCTGAGTGAACCTTGGTACATTTGGCTCACCACTGGACACCAGTAACAGTTGGTAGAAACTTGCAATATGCAAGCCTATTAAGGCTAATAGACACAAGGGACTCCATAAAAAATGTGTGACCTATCTTTTTTTTTTTTTTTGTTTTAAATAATATGATCTTTAGGCCTATGCTTAAAGCTTTTGCAATTGTCAGTACAACTTCCCCCCCAAATAACCCCTTTTTGGAAAGTTAACAGTCCAATGTATTTAAGAGGCATGGTGAGTTTTTTAAGTTGTAATTTTTTTCACAGTTTTTTGGACAATGAAGAAATTAAATTTTTTTTTACACAAAGTTGTCATTTTAACAAGTTATTTCTCACACACAACATGGACATACTTACAATTACACACCAAAACACATTGTGCTATGCCTCCTGAGTATGGAAATACCATGTGTGTGAGTCTTTTTTCACAGCCTAGATCCAAAATCCAAGGAGCAACTTCAGGTGTTCCAGGGCATACATTACGCATCTAATTTCCTGACTACCTATCACATTTGTGGGGGCCCCGGAGCACCAGGACAGTGGAAAAGAAATTAATTAAATTTAACATAATTTTGTTAAATTTAATTTATTTATTTTTTGTCTATCCTATTATGCCTAGATGATATTAGATGCCCTTTATATCCTCTACAACTGTTTTGGACGTGTAGGACAATTAAGATCTTTGTTAGGTTATTTCCGCCTAGCTTCGTGAGCTTTCACATCCAGGGTGAGCCATTGAGTTCCATATATATATATATATATATATATATGACTAAATATTTTGTATTGGATATATTTTGTTTGGTAATTGTATAATTTTCCTTTGATACACCTTTAGACTGCCTTGGTGGTTGAAATCTCTTCAAAAAAATCTTCCCCGAAGAAGCCCATGAGGGCGAAACATGTAGGGAGTAACTGCAATCATATAACCAAGTTTGAATCTCAGTTTTACTCTTAGTACTGAAATAGTTTTTATTTTTCTGTATTTTTTCCATTTTTTTTGTGTGTTTTTTTATAAAAATACGAAATAAAAATTATATAACTTTTTAATATGTTTGGTATTCATGTTCATGCACCCTGAAAGTCCCATCTTCTCTATTGAATATCACTGGAACTGGCAAATACCCTGTTCATGAATCTACCATACGTAATTCTTTGAACAGGCAGGGTGTCCATGGCAGAACATCACAAAGGGAGGCCACTGCTCTTCAAGAAATATGTTGCTGCATGCCTGCAAAGAGCACCTTGGCAAACCGCAATGCTACTGGGAAAATGTTTTGTGGAATGATGAAACAAAAGTTGAATTGTTTGGGAAGAATACTCTGCACTATCTTTGGCTCAAACAGGGAACAGCTTACCAACATCAAAACATCATCCCAACGGTGAAGTATTGTGGAGGGAATATCATGACTTGGGCTTGCTTCACTGCCTCAGGGCCTGGACCACTTGCCATCATCAAAGGGAAAATTAATTCCCAAGTTTAATTCCTGAACATTGTGCTAATCTGATCCAGAGTTAACATAAAAACTTGCTTAATGTAATTACAGGAGGTTTAAACAGCTATTAACTTCAAGGATTCACATTCTTTTTCCTCCATCACAATGAATGTTTAATGGGTTTTGTTCAATAAAGACACAAGAAATTAGAATTATTTGTGTGTTATCGGCTTAAGCGCATTGTGTTTGCTGATTGTTATGACTTAGATAAGGATCAGATCACATTTGGCAAATTACTTCAGAAAACCAGTCAACTCCAAGAGGTTCAAATACATTTCATGCCACTGAAACACAATGGTTGTAATTTACTGTTCCTTCTTAAAATGCATGTCCATGATCGACTGACTCAGTAAAACTAAGCCCACCCTGTGTGGCTGATATCATAACCATTGCGTAGGGAATGTAAACCATAACAGTCAGTTTCCGTTATTTGATCCCATATGAGTGGTTAAATAAACCTATTGATCTTGCCAGAAATATTTTGAGCTGAGCTAAGACGCCTGTGCTTACTGTTATCAGTTATATCAGGTAGTCTATATTCCTCAGCTATCTCTAAGGAAAGCAGGACAACTCCCATGTTGTGGATCAGAAGAGAAAGGGAGATATTCTGTAGTTTTATCTTTGGGTGACAATGCTGTTTTTCCATAGATACAGTATGGTATCTAGGGATGAGGTGAATGTAATTGGGTTCAGTTCAGGATGGTTTGAGTGCCAAATCTCAACCCCGTTTAAGTTTATAGGCACCAAATGTTAAAAAACAGTAATGACTGTTTTTTAGGCTAATAGGCAAGGTATTGTCAAACAAATGTCATGGGGAAGGGCACTGCTCTGGGGATCATGTAGCAGTGCACAGAATGCTGCATTGAGAAGCAAATTTAAAGTGGTAGTAAAGCCTATTTTTTAACTTGTACCTACAGGTAGGCCTATAATAAGGCTTATCTGTATGTACTGTAAAGATCTCCTAAACATGCACCGTATGGAAGATATTTACCTGTATAGAGTACTTTGAAGGAACAGCATGCCCGTGCCATTCCTTCAGAGCTGTGTGCCATAAAAAGTTGACTCCTGCACACAAGCACGAGACTGACATCATTGTGGCTTGGCCATTCAAGCCACTGGAGCCTGCAAACCCGGAAGAAGGACGAGTGAAGATGGAAGTCCTGTCAGCGGTGACAGCACACCGCTGGAGGTTTTTTTTAAGGTAAGTTTTAAATAATGTGCTAGTATGTAATGCCTTTGTCTTGCAGGGGAAAACTAACTAAAATTAGTTAGTTAAAGGTAGTTACCTAAAATTTACTACCACTTTAAGGGCAACATTGCAAATACAACATTTCCTGGGGATGCCCATAACCTGCCTGTTAAGTGGTGCATCTGTACAATTAAAATAACCTACGACAGCAAAACTGATATGTATAACTGTTATTCAACCACTTCCCCGCCGCCCTATAGCAGATATACTGCTACAGGGCGGCAGGGGTGCGTAAAATCGCGTATATATACGTGATTTTGCATTTCCGGGTAGGGGGCGCCGGGGGGGCACTACCTGCACTGACATTCGAGGCCGCAGCTATCATCAC